TTTTATGACAGGTACAATTAGCTTTTTGGCCGCGACTTCGTTTGGAATCTTTAATAAATAATACACTTAAACCGTCCTCTTGAATCATTAAATCTATAAAAAAACCCGTATCAGAATTTTTCACGTTGTTTTAAAGATCTAACCATACTTATGTACATAAGGATAAGCTGCAGGAAAAGGCTTTGTTTGTATATGTATACTAGTCCGTCACATCCTCCCGAAACTACAGCAACTCCTGTAAGCCAGGATCTACAGTAGATACAATCATAAAAAGTATAAAAACACACTAACACTGAAGTCCGGCGCGTCCCAGAGACATACCTAAATGACCGTCTTGGATCCTGCAACAAAATAAATCAGAACATATTATTTGAGGAGAAGAAAAAACGAAATAGTTTCCACTTCCGTCAGTCTACTTATACTTTAATGCAAGAGACAGAATGAGTTAAGCCTTAAAGACACAAAAGAGACTGTAGGTAAGTTCAACTTGAAGAAGTCCAGTCGCCAAACGCCACGGAAAATTTACAATCGTAATGGGTCCTATGTGTGAGCTGGTATAGGTACTTGTGTAAGTAATGATAGTGATATTGTGTAGGTACAATTACGATCGTCGGAGTTGTATCTAACCAAGTTGCCCCTGCACGTAGGTATCTGCACTATTCCACATTCACCGGCGTGAAACTACTACAGCGTTGTGTTTTGCCGTGTGAATTATATTTACCGGAGGCTCAATCCATCTCCCCTTTCTAAATCCCTAAAACTTTTTATGCCCAAAATATCAGCAACATACATGCAAATCTAGTGATGCAGGTCTCCATGGGCGGCGCTGATAGTTAAACACACATTAGTCTGTTCATTTGCATCTGCTGCTGCTGTTCATATCATCATCATCATCAGCCTATACTTCAGTGCCCAATGCCGAGCAACGGCTTTTTCTCTTACGGAGAATGTTTTAGTTTAGGCGATTTCATACTTATATAAATTGGGAATTATATGTTAACTTATAAATATTTCCTGCTGTAGCTAGTATCAAAATTTAGGGCATATTCTGCTGGCTAATGTAGCTGGGTATGCACCTATGCATGCAGATACGAATCAATATATTTTCAGAGTTCCTTGGTATATATAGAAACAGAAAAATACAAAATACTGCGTCATAGTGACACGTTACGAATTTACGATCTCATCAAATGTCAACCTCTTTTTCAATCAATTACTGACAACATTGTCGAATTTTATTGCGAAAAATACCTAAAATATCATATTATCAAGTTAAAAAGAGTGCTTTAAGAAAGTAACAAAATATTAACGAAATTCTTAGCCCTCGAAGGGAAATGTCGAATTCATTAATTAACTTTTTATTATCTGTGTATTTGTATTCGTTGACGTTTGGTTTTTTTTTCAATTCGTTGATTAAACCACTTGACACCTGCCAGTTCGAAATGTAGGTAGGTAAATTATTTTGAGAACTCTTGCAAAAAAAAATAATTATGTAGAAAGAAATAAGAATAGGGTTAATACTTAATAAACCAAGGGCAAAAACTTTCCATTCCATAGACCAGGGGCTAAGGTAATTTTTACTGCACCAAGGAACTCCTGGTAAAAGCTATCTTCAACACCTGGTAAAAGCTATCTTCAACACCTGGAAAGGGAACCGTATCCTCGTTTTGACCTGCTCCGGGAAGCTAATTGGAATTCTAGTAATTTTTTTGTGAGAGGAAAATAATTAAATGAGTTTTCCCTCCCAGGGTAGGGCGCGAGGGAGTGTCAGACCCTTACTGACTAAAAACCCATCCGTTCCTTTTCCTTAAGTTTTATAATAAAATTCAAACACAAAAAATATTCAATAAATACTTTAATTTTTAAACAATTCGGGTTTCATCTTACATTATACATTTTTGAATGTATTTTTATAGTTATAAACATTTTTACAGTTTTTTCAAGCATTTTTAAGTCATAAAGAAACATCTTATATAATTTAAATATGAGGCACCCATGTATCGTATGTGTATGAAGATACGATCAAAATAACATAAATGTAGAATGATCTGTGTGTGTAACATTGACGATTGAACAAAACTATAGATTAACTAATTTATCTGTTCATTAAAAAAAAGTTGAACTTTGAACGCTTTTGATTTCATCATTAGCAGCTTATGCTAACGCCATCTAGTGAAAGCTGGTGAAGTTATGTTAAGGACGACACGTTCTGAAACGCGTTTATGTGAGATAATTTTTCATTTTTCCTTACTCTTAGGACTTTTCAATAATCATATTTTGAGACGCATTTCAGAAGTATTGTTTTATGCCATGTTGCATAATGACTGAAAAATATTCAAAATCTAAATCGACCATTACTAAAAAATGGCGGGAACCAATGACAGAATGACATCTTAATTTACGTTCTCGTTTTTTTTTTTATAATTCTGAAATAGTTATATTTGAACAGATAGATTAGTAATGCTATAATTTTGAGGTTATCATAATAATTCGTGATAAAATACTACTTGGGACATCGCGCACACATTATTAAAAGGAATGTTGATCAATCCAAATAGTAAAACTATTTAACTGATTCATTTTAAAAACTATTAATTGCTTTTATAATGTACTTTCTGGCAGTATCTTATTAAGTTTTTCGATATTAGAAAATATCTATATATTTTTGAAATTAAGTAACCAAAGCATAAATGAGATTACAAATCCGAAGTACACACTCAGCTTAACAATTCCTTGATGTTGGAAAACATTTATATGTTTTAAATAAATTAATTATAATTAAAAAATAATGGTTAACTGAATCGGAATACTTTTATTCTATATTTAAATTTCAAAAGCCAGAAATTAAGCGCCTGATAACTTTATTTCAACGAAATGCAAACTTATTTTTAATAAATGTTGCCCTAATAAACACGTCAGGCGCTTCTTAAATTCATAAGTAGTTCAATAAAAACCTATCACAAATACGCAAGTACTAAACTATTGCAATAAACAATAATTTTTAATTAGGTAACTATTTCATTATAGTTGTCAACTTGTCAATAACATTTATAAGCATTCAAATACCCATACATTTAATATTTCATTTCCGCATTATAAATATATTCGCGTGAATCTATCTTTCATAGAATAAACTCCTCTACTTTTCAATCAATAATGTCTGTACAAATCGACACCTATAAAAACTAATCGATAACTAAAATATTCGTGTATTTAAAACACCAGAAAACCTAGCTTGTGCACCAAATATATTCAAAAATTCTTTGAACACTGAATCAATCAATCGAATTGAAAATTAAAATCGAATAGAATCGAATGAACTCGATTCTTTTAAACCACGTCATCGATAAAATTGACACCGTTATAAACCGATTCTGTATTTCGAATTCAAATTAAATAATTTCTATTTATTTTTAAATGTAAATATCTAATGATCAGTGTCTTAAAGGCCAATTTTATTGAAACACCGCAGTTGTAGGAGCACCTTGTCTAGTGCGAGAATATGATTTACTTTAGCGCGAATCGACAGGTTGATGATTTCCTGCACTCTGATTGGCTGATTTCATGTTAACTAACCAATCAAAGATCTTAATGTTAACGTTGTAATCGCGGTAATGATAAAATTTGTCGCACTAAGCAAGGTGATCGCGCAACCATAAAATTTATGGAAACTTTTCTACTTGGTGTCAAATTTGTTGCGCAAATAGTTGCCAGCGACTAAATCAACACGTTCTTCTGAAGACACTAGTTGCGCAACTAATCGTGCTAATATACTATTTTAATAAAACACGGTCGGTTCAAGTATTAAGTAACAATATAAGTACATAGAGTAAGTTTAGTGTTTACATAATTATTTCATGTATGAAACTATATCACAATTTAAGCTATACGTTTGAACCTAAATGTCTAAAATGCACTGGTTAACTAATGTTTCTAAAATAATAAGTAACTTAAGGACTCTGGCCTTGAAAGAATCTCAATTCTTAAATACTTATGTATCCCATTTGAAAAAAAAAAGCATTTATTTTCACATTTTTTTGATAACCATTGTTTTGCCACTTAGGGCTATGAAAAATAGCCAGTACCGGATTCCTAAAACTACTGAATATGCATTTAAAATTTGGTAAAAAACAGTAAAGCTGTTTCGGAGGTGTTTTTGTGGCTTTGCGCAGGTCACATTTGTCGAAGAACCGATGACCATTGGAGTAGACCTGTTTTGGAGTGAAGACCACGTGCACGCAAACGTAGTGTGAGATGCTTTAGCTAGATGGACTGACTTAATCAGTCAGGAAGCTTTGGCAGTGGTTGGATGCGTAGAGCTGAAGATTGAGCTCAATTACGTGTCATTAGAAAGGGCTTCCACAAGTAGAAAAAAACGGTCTGATAAAGGTGTTTATATAAATATTTTGTTTTGTTACCATACACTACCAAATCCAGTCTAAACTATATTGTAAATCAGTAGGTATTAAGAAGAAAATTAACAGTTTAGATAATTATTATCCAGTTTTGCATCCGATAGGTGGAGCTGAAATCAGATTACGCAACGTTCAACCCGCCATTTATAAATAAATTATAATCTTTAGTCACTTATTATTTTAGAAACACGTTTGAAAACGACCTCGCATTAATAGTGTAGTATTTTTTCTCTAAAATCGAAGTCACAATACTGACTAAATAAAACATAATAGATTTGTTTGACAAAAGCTTGCGCATAATACCGTTGTTTCTTTTACTCATATATCACTGTCTCTTTTATTCCTTTCTATAACTTTCTGTTTGTATCTCGCTCACTTAATTTGAAAGAATATCAGTGATATTTGACGCTAACTTTATAAACTAGAGCTAGAGCTAGCTATAACTACTAGCTAACTTTATAATCAAGACAATTCACAAACTTGTTTGAGTTTTAAGATAAACTTGCGCTAATTAGTAGACTTTTATAACAAAAAGAATTAATGTTTATCTGAATTCCATCACAAACATATAAAAGCTTGTGGTCCAATTCAAATAGTAACTGTTTTCACTCCTAATACATATCTTTAAATCATAACAAACGGTAGATTTTGCGCAAAAGAATAGCGCAACGGTTGCGCAAAGTTAGCGCAAGTTAAGCGCAACTTTTGTCAATAATAAAATGCTTAAATACCTTACTATTAACACGACGATGTCGCGTACGCATTATATATTCTCTAGTTTATCTAATTTGTCTGAATTGGTGTCGAGCGTGGCCTTACAGACGTATCCCTTCAGTGCTAGGACTCCCCTACACTTGATGTGAACTTGGTAGCGCGCACACCAGTCCAAGTTGTCGCAACCCACGCCCGCGTCCGAAAGGGTCTTTACTGCGGCGATTGAGAGTAGATCTGGAATAAAAAATAAAAAATTAATATTGTTTTCTCCAGTCATAGTGAAATCTATAGTATTTGAAACGCAGCGTTTGCTTTAAATTGTCCTTTCCACCATCGTACCACTAGACAATCGGTATAACGTCATCGCTTCATGGTGGATATCCCACCCATAAGCAAGAAACAATTCGCCTTCAGTTTTATCTTCAGAACCACTAAGGAGCAGAATTCTTTGCATCATCGCTTCTCAGCAGACGAAATAGTGTCCAAACGCCAGACAATTTAAATTGATATAATGTAAACTAGTCTAGAAAACGACAATTCAAACAAAACAATCATAACTACTATCTATCCCAAATTATACTGTTTACTGCAAAAAAGATGTGTCTAGTGTTTGACAAAAATATGTCTTTAATTGAAATTTAAATAGAGTAAGGCTCTGTTTCACTGCCCTCATATAAGAACCTCATAAATTTAAGTGGCAGATAGATCAAACGAATTATGTTTATCAGTTTTCCTCACAATGTTTTCCTTTACCGTATGTCAGTGGCGTCTAAATAACCATTGAAAGTACTTATACTCGGAACAAGTCATATTGGAACTTGCCAGGTTCCGAAATCTCATGCATGAGAAGCAGGCAGCTTAGCTTCCAGGCCACCACGACTTTAAAAGGTAAAATTATCAATTACCTGGGGGATCAGCGTGTGTCAACAACTGCACGTCGTTGGCGCGGCAGAAGGCGTGAAGGGACGGCGGTACCACGCAACATGACGCGAGGTTGATCTGCGCGATGGATGGCCGGACGCGAGCCCACGCGTGGAGCTTGCGGAGACATCCACCACCTACATCTGCTACTCCTAGCTGCTGGACGCGACCTGAAGGATAGATCATGTTAGAGATAAGGCTAGCCTATAGCAGAACAGTCTTGATATTCAAAGTTTGCTCAAGAAACAACGAATTTTACCCTAAAACTAATTCGACAAATAAAAGAAGTATATGAAATATAAATTATAAAGAAAATTGTATGCGAAAATAGACAATGTTATGTCTTTATGTTAGGTTAGGTTTAGTATATAAATATTTAAGGGCGCTAACACAAAGTTGTGTAGTATTTTATACTCATAATATAGTTTTTTGTCCTATCATTACATATCATTGGGTCAATAATGCTTCAGTAACGCCGTCTAGGTAACACGATATTTAAAACTCAGTGCGCAAACGCAGCTTTGCTTATCTTCTCATAATTATATAAAATTCTCGTGTTACAATATTAGTAACTCTACTCCCTCGAAACGGCTTTAACATTTTATTACTATATTATTCATATTCAGTAAGTCTGAGAATCGGCTAGTGGCTCACTTAGGCTGACTTAGTGATGAATAATGTATATGCCAAAACAACGTGTTTATTACGTACCCAAATCCGATTACTGTGAACAAAATGTTGAGGAAAAAACCTTTACCTTCTTTGACGAAATCTTCAAGCACAGCCCAGAGGATCTTGATGCCAGGTAGAATGGCCTCACACTTACGCGCGTCGGCCTCATTGTCGGCCTCAACCTCCGTACTGGACATGCGCACTGAAAGAGAAGCCACGGTGCCTACTAAAAATATATTTCAGAACATAGCTTCTATGATATATAAAAATAGAGTCTAATTGAATTTGAATAAATGAAGTGCAGTTCAGATAAATTTTAAATGGAATTTAAACAAAATAATGATAATATGATTCAATAGTATGTTTTAACTAAATTAGTTAGGTACATGAATATTTCTTTAATCAACAGCTTTAGTGTTTCAGTATCAGGAAATGAAAAAAAGAACTTTGGTTGGGATGTGTTCGATAAACGAATGTTTGGGACAGTAAGAGAAGAAAGAGAAACCATTTTTTAGGGGGAATAAGCAATTGAAAACAAGAAACATTGTTTTTTTTTTATGTAGTAGGTCGGCAAACGAGCAGACGGATTACCTGATGGTAAGCAATCAGCGCCGCCCATGGACACTCGCAACGGTGGAGTTACGAGTGCGTTGCCGACCTTTCAGGGATTAGGGATTTGGAGATATAGGGATTGAGGAGGGATTGGGGAAGGGGAAGGATTGGGCCTCCGGTAACCTCACTCACACGGCGAAACACAACGCAGTGGTTATTTCACGCCGGTTTTCTGTGAGGCCGTGGTATCACTCCGGTCGAGCCGACCCATTCGTGCCGAAGCATGGCTCTCCCACACTTGAATTAGAAGCTAAAGGTTTTTTTTTGTTACACTTTTATTTTTACACTTTTATTTATTTATTAGAGATTTCTAACAAAGGATATACACAAATCATAAAATAATAATAATAATAATAATGAGCGACAACTACATGCTAGCGGCCGTTTCCGGGGGCCCATTAATTGAGTTTGCCAGTCACCCCCTGCCTGTTTATTCGTATGTATCAATATTGGTCAGGGGCAGGGGCCATAGTATTTTCATAGTTTTCATCCACTAGTCCATAGCAACCCATACCCATAACCCTTCCAATTATTACCACAATTTTGAAATAGTACTGCATCAGCCGGGGATTGCCGGCTGATGTCCCATTTAAAGTTGTTCAACGGGCCTCTGCGAATTGGCTTCGGCCCCTCGTAGCCTTCCAAAGGTCCGGGATCCTGTGATCCCGTGAACGGAAACGAACACACATAAAAAAATGGGTGACAATATTCTCATGCACGTGTACTCCTCCACTTAGAATAGACCAGAGCGTGCATACAGGCAATTACAATTAAATAAATGACATCATTATCAATTGACGTCTTTCGCCTTGGTTGAAGCAAGGAGAGACAGACTCTTACTGAGAGAAAACTACCTCGTTCCTTCTCCTGCTCCAGTCAAAAGAAGGAACGGGGTGCCTGGTATATTTTTAAGCGTTCTCCCTAAATCCCAGAAATACAAATAGTACAGTAGTAGTATTTTATTTGAGGTAGGGAAATAATCAAATTCCTTTTCTCACTGTGGATGGGATGAAAGGGAGTGTGAGACATAACTGACTCCAAACCCCCCCCCCCAATTCCTTCACCTACTCCAGGCCGAATCCGCAGTTCATTATTGCGCTTTGCGCTTGCACCAACTACTCCAGGAATACTTTATTAAGTATAAGAAAAGGGAACAAATGGACGTACCACCTGATGGTAAGCAATAAGCGATGGCCTTAACACTCACGATATCAGCGAAGTTGTCAGTGTGGCGAAGGCTACGGAAGATTTAAAAGCATTTAAACCTTTTTTTAAACTCACCATTACTGCCTAAAGAAATGGGGGATGCTTTAGTGGCGTATGTGTTTTTGAGGGTGTTGTCATCATTGGCTTCCTCTCGATGCAGCAGGTCGGGGTTGTATGCTAGTATGACGTTGTCTATATACTCTGTGTGCAATGCGCTGAACACTGTAACAAAACAGGAAAGTATTAGAAACTAACTTCTGCCATTATCACTATTTGTTTTTTCAGACTAATCTACATATACCTGTGGCAATTTTCATTAAAATCTATTTAGTCGTTTTTTGTACAGTCGGTAATATAAATCAATCCATCCATCTGAACTAACAAATTTTTGCATTCTTATTAATAGAGTATTAAAGGTTAAAAATGTTACAGGGCTGTCAGTTTCAAAAAAAGCAAGATTAAATTGGTTGTTGACAAATTTTTTTTAACAAACATTATCAATCCACAACTTTTATAGCTGACTTAATAATGTTGTATGGTAAAACTAGTAAAAAACAAGGAAATTAATCATCCTTCATATTAATTATATTTATTGGTCTTTCCAACCAACAGGAAAGTGAGAATGTTAATTTAAAAACACTTCTTACGTAAGTACAATAGACAAATAGGAATTATGACCCACTGTAACTTAATAATAATTTCCTTATACATATTAAAATACTATTAGGTCAAGATTCGCGTTAACTTATTCTAAGGTAACAATATTTTTGTTTTTTATTTTATATTGTTTCACTGCACTATGAATGAATTCACTCGGACCCCATATAAAATAACTTCCATGGTAGACTAAGTTGTTTAAATATAACAAAGTTTATATAATTTTATTTTATAATTAGTATGTAAGGTTTCTTTGTATTGTTTTTGATTTTGTGTGTTATGTATTGCTTTATAATGTTACTACACTATTAGAGATATTAGAAAACTCCTGTGATAATAGTGTAAATAAATAAATAAACATAAAAATAATAAACAAAAAAAATTTTTATTATTTTAAAATTTTATTATTTTAAAATTATTTTAAAAATTTTTTTAAAAAGAAATCTTTATTATTTTAAATAACTTGTGCCTTTGCATATATTTTATTTGTCCATTATATATGTTCTAAACAAATTATGTTAATGGAAAAGCCACAAGACAGTACATCTTTACAAGTTATGTTTGTTTTACGTCTTTGGAGGATAATGATGATAAATATTTATTCATCCTTGTACAAGTAATCATACAGTAACATTATAAAGCTGAAGAGTTTTGTTTATTTAAATGCGATATCCTCCTAAAATACTGGTTCAATTTTAATGTAATCCATTTGTCGAGTAAGTATATAAAACACTGAGCAGTGAAAGCGAGTAGCTAATTAATAAGAGTAAGAAATACAAATGACAATTTAAAATTTTTACACTTATTCAAAGTTATAGTACCTGTTGATAAGTTATTTAAAAACTTTTTAATAAGACACGATCACCTTTTAGGTCAAATACTACACCTAAACCTTAGAGAAAGAAAAAAAATCAAAATAAAAACACTAAAACTGAAGAAAAAAATAAACTTTAGCACCACAATTGTGTTTCACAAGGGCAATATAAATCATTCATTAAGAAATTACCCACAAGTCATTGAACTAAGAATTCATATCTGACAACCCTAGTAGATGTCAAAGGGTCATAAGGTCACACTAATATATGTACAAATTACAAAAAGACTAATTATGGCAACACTCATAGAAGGGATCATGTTTACTATACGTGCCATCCTCTTCGATACGGATAATTTACGTCTCACATCAATATAAGATAAAGAATACCAGATAAATAAAGTATTACGTCACATCTAAATTAAACATATATCAACCTTATCTTGACAGTCGTTCGTTCCAATTCTGTTTAACACACCTACTTCTTTAAGACTTTTGAATATCAGAGGAAAAATGTCATAGTAACATTTACTTATAATTATGTATTTATATGATTTTTGTCTTTTTGCAGACATATATTCTTGCCAAAGGCTTATAAAATATGTATAATAAGCGCATGTTTTACCATCTTCATATAAGTTCTCAGTATATTTATGTAAAAAATTACAATTTTATTTGAAACATAGAGACTGTCTGTAATTGCGATAGAGGCCCTTAGTCGGTAGACCAATTCTATTATCATTTTCATACTAATCAAGGAACTACTCAAGCAAACAGGCAGTTAAATCTTAAATGTACCCATTAAGATAAGCTATCGTTTTATCTTTCTATAATTATTTAGATACAGCTGACAAGCGGCGAAGGAAAATGTCGTCAAAAAACTGGACTTATAATTTCTAATAATAAGTTTGAAATCAGTTCGGGACAGAAGACTTTTTGGTTAAAACAGGAAAATAAAGGCAAAAATAAGATAAAAGTCTGAATTATCATAACTGTCAAAACAAAATGATATCAACGTCGAAAAATATACTAATATAAATAGGTGTTATAAAGATTAAAAAGATAGGACTCCTTTATATAATTTGGAAACCTCTAGGTTTTAGCTAATGTGGGAGAGCCACGCTTCGGCACGAAAGGACCGGGTCGACCGAAACTTTTTTTCACTTATGCTTTGGGCTAGAGGAAGTGGCAGACTCTTACTGACTTATAGCCCATATAAGTCGTTATCATCTAGTAGTCGCTCATATAAGTAGTTTATCGCATAAAATAGGGAATGACCCTAATGATAGCAAACATCCCTGGCAAGTCAGATGGGGCCAAAGGGCTGATGTTCAGCCGGGGCTGTGGAGTAAGAGAGAGTGGTTTTTAGTCAGTAAGAGTCTGACACTCTAGCCTTAACTGAACAAGTCATTTGATGATTTTCCCTGACAAAAAAATGCCTATCGTATAAAATAGGGAATGACCCTTATGAAAATAAACATCCCTAGTAGGTATATATTTATACTAATATTGAATTGTATTCTATTACGCAGTCTAATTTAAGATACCGAGTCTCAATGATAAACGAGACAGCCGTTCAAGCAATTAGTTAATAGACCATTAATTTCAAGACGTTTAGACAATGTCAGTCTTAGTCAAGGAGATACAAGGGCAACGGACCGATTTGCTCAGAAACTCATGTAGCATGCATTATTTCCATAGACCGGTAAAGTATTGAAGAAGTACTCAATTGATGGCTACTTCTGATGTTTGCTATTCTCGTGTTTCTATAAAATAATGAAGTTAATAATTAAACATCTTCCACATCGGTACTTAGTGAACCATTTTTGGTGGTGCATAAATTCAAAGATTGTAAAGAGTTTTAGGAGATCGTACTGTTCCTATGTAGAATATTGTTTTTTCATTGCGTATTTCAATTAATAGAACTAAATCAATAACGTAGTTTCAAGTATTTTATTATGTAATCATAATGTTATTATAATCATATAATGTAACTTTTTTATTATCTTAATATCTTTTGTGTTCATTACTATGTAATGCCATATTGTTTCTCTAGGACACCGCGTCGCAATAAAACCTCGTTCTTTAACTTTTATACAAATAGGACTTTATTCATCACTAGCGCCATCTACGAAGCGCAAAAACGGGTCAGTGTTCAATTTTAATAATCTACTGCTATATTTATTCAACGGTAAGTCTCATCAGTTTTGATATCTACTACCAAACAAATCACAGTGGTTACAATCAGCAGTCTAATCTACACAAGTGATCAATGCATGTATTGATAACGACGGTTTATTCCGTGTTTTCTTATCATCAACTTCATAGAAGTCATCAAATGGACAGTAATCAACTATCGCAATCAGTTCGGCGCCTAAAGTCAGTCTATGTTGTTTAAAGAAGGAAGAAATCACAGGAAAATTTAAACTCTTGAATATGGTTTAGATGCTTTGTAGGGTTTGTAAAACCTATTACTACCACTCAAATTTCAATCCATTTGTCTGTCTGTCACCAGTTCTTATAAACCGTGACAGCCAAATAGTTGAGGACAGATTATGTATTTCTGTTACGGCTAAAACAAGAAATCCTAAAAAGATAAGGATGAGACTCTACAATAAACATGTTTTGGAACGGAGCACTTTGCAGTAATTACAAAAACAAATGAAGCGTGAATGTATTCTACCTGGATCACATATGAAACCTCTTTGTTATACGTCGATTTCAAACTTCACTGTCAAATGTCATAATTAAGTCCATAGCGAACACCGAGCTCTGGTGAGGCGGCCTTCTTGTAAAACAGGACAATTAGTGTTGGACCTTCGTAGAATACGCACGCAGCCACGTGTTCGGTGGACGTTAAGTTCAAATCCAACCTAATCTTAATTATCCTTAGTTAAATTGTAATAGTTGTGATTGTAATATCAAGAGTTGTAAGAAGAGTGATTATAGCAACAGTTATTTTATTGAAATACTGTCTTCCTACCCGATAATCCACGCCTAACTGAACATGTCAAATTATTATAATCATAGTCGAAAGACTCCATATTTAATGTCTTATATAACTATAATAACAATAAACAAAACAATAATTTAATCGTAAAAGTAGACTAATTAACCCTGGTTAAGTATAAAGAGTCAGAGAGAGCCGCATTTAAAATAAATAGAAGAAAAATATTTAATTGAAAACCGCGTTGCTTTCCGCATTTGAGTAAAATAAATATTTGAAAAACGTTTTATCGACGTTTTGGTACCGAGATTTCCGTTAAAAGTTTATTTGCACACAAAATTATCATTGCTGTATTAAATTTGTTATGGGACAAGCCCGCCACACCCTGCCAAAACCGCTGCAACTCCTGTAAACCAGGATCTACAGTAGATACAACCATGAAAACACCGGAACACTGAAATCCGGCGCGTCCCAGGGCTGTCCCTGAGTGACTGTCATCGTTGGATCAGCAACGAAATAAATCAACAACAGGAATGGCGTGTTAATACACCAGTTTTGCAAAATCTTTAGATGACTTTTAGCCATTTCGCGCTCTGACGGGAGTCAGACTCTTCCTAAACAAAAACGATCCCGTTCCTATTCTTGAGGGCCTACCATGACGTGTTAAAGCGTTCATCTTCCGGGCGAGAAAGAGGGATAGAGCTATAAAAGATGTATAGCTCCATTCCTCGTTCCCGCCCGGAAGATTGACGTGGTAGGCCGAGCCGGGACCGCGGTACATTTTTCCGCTATAAAAATAATACGCACACTGCTAGCGCAAGATTCCTTTTCAATAGGGTATCTATTGGCTGTCAGTCTTGATAACTTAAACCCATATACTTCATTATTTGATTTAAGAATATATTTCTACTTAAATAAAAGTTTATAATGCACTCACCATTCTCCAAGCACTCAGTCAAGGCCGTCGTACTGTCTTCATTAATAAAAATCTTGACTCCAATCTTCAAATTCTTGCGTTCTTCTTCTGCCATTTTGATTTGTACGTCATCATGAGGTCTTGTGATGTTGATCACCGCTTCAGAGCCCGCTGCAGCTGATGCCGTCATCACTTTGTAGTCGGAGTGGCGGTGTGAGGTCTGCGGATGACCCCCTGGAGGCGGACCGACGCCATTTTGAACGGGGACGCCATTTTGTGTACCCCATTCCGATAGAGTCAATTTGATACTTTCTGAAAGCTGGAGAAAAAAATTGATTGGTTGTAAATTCGTTGTAGCGTTTTGTTTTCATTTATGCTTTATTGTTGACAATTAAATGAAGTTGTTACAAAAGCCTAAATGCCATATATGGCATTCTCTACCAGTCAACCGTTAGGTCAAACAGAAAATCTGCGGAAAAATAGGTACGGGAAATATGTTACGATACTAATTTTGTAATGTGTATGTAAGTATTTAGTAAGATTAACCAGACTAACAAATATATTAGTAGTAGTACTAATATACTTAGTCGGGTCATAAGTTCTGTCACAAACTTTTGATGTAATAACTTATACGCCTTTTGACAATTATTTAAAAATTATATATGAAATGAAAGGTCATTAAATGTACAATATAATTTTATTTACATTATTCGAAATGCCCTCCCCCATTTTGAACACATGCCCTTAATCTACGCGGCCAGTCATCGATCGCTGCACGCACCACATTCATATCTATGTCTGCCGCTGCTTTAACCAGAGATGCTCGGAGAGACTCCAAATTCGGGTGAGGTTTAGCACAGACTTTTTCCTCCAAATATTGCCATATCTTGTAGTCCAGTGGGTTTAAATCTGGACTAGAAGAGGGCCAGTCTTCATGCCGGATGAAGTCAATTCCACGAGCGATCAACCAGTCTTGCGTACTTCGTGCCTTATGAGCCGGTGCAGAGTCCTGTTGGAATATCCAATGCCTGTTCCTGAACATTGTCTGAGAAAGAGGTTCCACTATGTTTGTTAGGACAGTATTTTGATAAACTTCGGCACTAGTTCTCACACCTTTTTCACAGAAAAACACCTCAGTTACGCCTGAATATGAGACTCCAAGCCAAACCATGAATGAGGAAGGGTAATGCCCACGCTGGACCCTCGCAATACGCGCGCTTGCTTCTTCACTGCTGTGGGCATACACCTTATCATTTTGTTTGTTAAAACTTTCTTCAATAGTAAAAATTTTTTCATCCGAAAAAAGAATTTCGCGGTATTTTTTTCCCGCGTACCGTCGTAGCAAAGCGCGGGATCTGTCTAGCCTAATTTTTTTTAAACGCTCGTTCAAAAAATGTCCTGTCTTTTTACGATAAGCTCGTAGTCCCAGGTCTTCATTTAGTACTCTTTTAACAGTGGTTCTGCTTAGCCCCATCTGCAGAGCTAGGATTTTTTGTTTACGTACGGGATTTCGTTCGATTCGCGCCTTCACTGCTTTGATGACCTTATGTGTCCGAACTGTGCGAGGTCGGCCGCTTCTCTTACGATCTTCGAAGCTTGACTCTTCGGTGTATCGTTTGATAGTACGATAAACAAACCGTAACGTTATTTTCAAATTTTGAAGAATATTGAAAATGTCTTTTGGCGCGTAACCACAGCGGTACAACGCGATAACCGCGATTCTGTCTTCTTTATTCGACCACTCCATATTTAAAAATGAATAAAAAATAATTTCTTTTTTATTTTCTACAAGCGCGAAAGTTCTATTTTTAAAATAAGTCGAAGAATTTCTGGCCAGTAATCGAAAATTAAAAATATAAGGTTTTGACAGAACTTATGACCCGACTAAGTATATTTAGATCTGTATTATTTGTCGTCTCTAAAGTTTTCTTTTTAATAATGATTTTTCTTTCGAAAGGTACTTTTTGTTTTTTTTTTTTGCCTACATAAAAATAATAACAACAATAACAAGAACTTTATAAAGAAAACTTTTTGAATAATAAATAGTTGACGTGGCCTTAGACATGTGACTAGCTGGAAAGTGTTGAGTCATCATTAGGTTTATTTGTTACCTACTGCCTCTGGAAATCTATACTAATATTATAAAGGTTAAAGTATTTGTTTGTTTGTTAGTTTGAACGCGCAAATCTCTAAAACTACTAGTTCGAATTGAATAATTATTTTTGAGTTCATTAGTCCATTTATAGAGGAAGGCTATATACCTAGGCTATAAGACATCATGCTACGACAGAGTCGAGCAGCGGGTGAAAATGCGCGAGTATAGGTAGTATTTCGAAGTCAAATCCCTAGCAACCGACTTGGGAACATTGATAAACAATTACTATAGATTAGAAATACAGTCTTTCCTTCTCAATAGTCATTGTAGGAAGGAAGGAAATACGTATGCCATGTTGCACTATGACGTCAACACAGTAACAACACACATTGTCTTCCATTCAATGTTTACACATGAACTGAAGGCACAGGGTTATCTTTCAGTATTGAATCACCATGAAACATTTTGTTCGTGTGTGTAACGAAGCGATCGTGCTTCATGTTTAAATTGAATGAGTGTTGAATTCATTATTAGTGTGCATGATAGGCGTAAATTACTGTTTCATGATTAGTCATTATTAGTACTGGCTTACGTACCTACAGTTCACAACCACGGCTTTATCGAAACTAGATAATACACAATGAACATCTGTCTTTCTAACTAGGACTTAGGACATAAATAGGTAATTAATATGTCAGTTTCCAACTAGTCAAATACAATCGTTTTTGTATTAATTTTATATGAAATAGCACGTTGTGACGTCATTATTTTTTATGTCAAACAACATACTTTTCTGTTATTGAATAGGGATGATGACTTAAAAATAATAATGAGTCCATCTTTTAGAACGCCAGAAAATAGTAGATACGTATTTTTTCTCTTGCTTCTAAAACTTAAAATAACAAAGTTACAGAGCGGCGAAAGTTCGCGCTACGTCATTATTTCGTAAAATTTTTACGAAAGAGTGGCGTCACGGGCCCCTACTCCTGAATTTGAAAGTGCTGTATCTTTCTCAATATTATTCGTACGGACAAATAAAAAAATACGTATCGAGTATTTTTCTTACTACTGACGAACTGGCGGACTAATTAGAATCTTGTTGTTTTAACCCAGGAGACATCCCTATTATCTAGGTAGGTATCTAAAAATAAGAATGCTAAGTACCTATACCTTTCGTAAAATTAATGAATGAAGGTGTAATTTTATGAAAGCATTTTATATGGTTTTATAAGTTGAAATAATTTATTTTTGACTGAGAAAACAATTCAATTGGTAAGTTATTCTACGCATGTACCTATGTATCTGTATAGGTACTTATATTATACAGTATATGTATATCTACAGCATGTAAAATAAGAACGCCATGAAATAAAATTAATAGCAAATTCAAGGAAAGATATTTTTTCGAATTGCAGCTTAAGCAAAAAAATATATAAGATTTATGTTCTATGGTGTATGGCGATACAGACATATAATATAATATAGTCAGACGGCTACGATTAGGTAATATCTAAATATTATCACGACTAGCAAAACATGTTAGGTCAGGTTTGAACATGCCTACTGCAGGAACTGAAAAATCTGGTGTAACATTGTGTAATACGTGTACTTACACGGTAAAATTTAGTGTAAAAATGATAACGAAAATTTCGAGTCTTATAGAAATAATTCTATCGCGATCGTGGGTAAGAAGATGGCAGCTTCTCCACCCGCTTTATGACTTCTCACATTACAGTATATCAACCTAATTAGTAAAATAATGTGATAAGTAGTTCGACAAACGAGCATACGGATTAGATACCTGATGGTAAGCAATCATGGTCGCCCATGGACAACCTCAACAACAGAGGAGTTACGAGTGCTTTGCCAACCCTTTTGGGAATAAAAGATTTGGAGATTTTAAATTGGGGAAGGATTGCTGGAGGGGAAGGATTAGGCCTCCGGTAACCTCACTCACACCGCGAATCACAATACATTACATACAATATATCCATATTTATAACCATATTATTATATTATACCATATTATTTTGCTTTGAATATGTAGGTCATTTTGTAAAAAAAAATAGATTTCTGTTTCCTGGCTCCTATAACTTTAATTATTACTGCATATCATTTACCACGTATACCTACCTCTATACTACCTACTAAAGGATGACTTGCAGAAAATTCTGTTAGCGTCAAGTTCTCCAATATGCAAATGTATATCACTACATAGTATAAAAAACAAAGTCGCTATATCTTTAAAACTACGCAAAGAATTTTGTAGCAGTTTTTTAAAGGTAGTGTTATTAAAAAAGAATGTTTATATGTATAGTGACATCTATTAAATAGTGGAAAAAAATATAATTAGTGCGCGTGCGAATCCGGGTCCCTAGTAAATTATAACTTATGGGATTCTTTACCAAAAAAGGTGACATCGCTTGTCTAGATCTACTTAGTTCCCCAAAGAACACTTTGACGTGATGATATTCAATACATGTATAAATAAAACCACTACATTGATTGATTAGATATTAAAATTGATACGATAATATTTACCACCTCGGGCGAGCAATGGTGATAACGCTATCAATTATCACAATGCGGATTATGACATTATTGTTTAAATATAGACAGAAATATACTACAAAATATATCTGAATCGCCAGTACGAGCTGAGGGATACTGAACTTTTTTGAGGGGAGGAAATCACTAAATGAACTTAATGTGGAGGTGCCCCGGTAGTTAAGGAGCCCGCTTCTCATGCATGAGGACCTGGGTTCGAAACCTGGCAAGTACCAAAGTGACTTTTTCAGAGTTACATGACATACGGTGAAGGTAAACATCGTGAGGAAACCTGGACTTATAATTTCTAATTATAAGTTTGAAATCGCCAACCCGCATTGAGCAAGCGTGGTATTAATGCTCTAAACCTTCTCCGTATGAGAAGAGGCCTTTACTCAGCAGTGGGCACTTATAGGCTGATGATGATGATGATGAAATCACTAAATCACTTTTCTCGATCTGGGTGGGTTGGAAAAGGAGTTCGGCCATCTTTAACTGACTAAAAACCATCCCACTCCTTTTCCTTCTACAGACAGAAGCCGCGGTAAGGCCTTGTTTACGTACGCGTTGTGCGCTGCGATGTGCGGTTCGTCATACATTGCTCGTGATGTTCATATGTTTGTGTTTGCACGGCCGTTGACACGATTTGATGCTGTAATGTACGACAAACGTAATACGCGCCGCGCAACGCGAACTAGACCTAAGTTATTGCGCGGTAAGTTGTTGACCCGCAACCCTGAGTACTAAGGGCTATCTAAACAAAGAATAGGATATTCTTTCTTCTTAAAAGAAGAGTCTCGCTCGATATAGTTAATACGAGCTTCTGCCAGCAGTTTCGCCCGTAATAGGTACTAGGGTCAACAGTAGACTAGATGCCTGTACCTATTTATATACAGATCCCACCAATCTATACTACCTAATATTATAAATGCGAAAGTAACTGTCTTTGTCTGTCTGTCTGCCTGTCTTTAATTAACGCCTAAGCTACTGAACCGATTTCTGTGAAATTTGGTACAGACATAGTTTAAAACTCGAGAAAGGACATAGGATAGTGTTTATACCAAAAATATGCAGGAAGTCAAAGCAATCGGCGCCGCCCATGGACACCCGCAACACCAAAGGAGTTACGAATGCGTTGCCGGCCTTTTGGGGATAGGGGTTGCGGATATAAGAATTGGGAAGGGATAGGGGAAGGGGAGGGATTGGGCCTCCGGTAACCTCACTCACACGGCGAAACACAACGCCGTGGGTTGTTTCACGCCGGTATTCTGTGAGGCCGTGGTATCACTCCGGTCGAGCCGACCCAATCGTGCCGAAGCTTGGCTCTCCCACACTTTAAATAATGTTTTATAAACATCGATGATACTATAATAAATGACATTTAAAATTCGAATTGACATGAACACGGACATGACTAACAATATTTTAAAAATAACGTAGGTAAACTACAGTTGAAAGATATGGTAGCACCGTGACGTTGCGTAATATCAACCAAGTCATTAGTGTTGAACTTACGAAGTAAATATAAATAGTACAGTCATAGGAGTGACGTCATCCACGTTAAATATTTATAACAGCGTATCGATAATATTGTATAAATACTCTTTTTTACTAAATATTATTATTTTACGGTATCAAACTTTTTTTATGTTTTGACAACTTTTTCTGCATGTCTGTAATGCCGTAGCTCGTAAACTGATGAACTGATTCAGATACGATTTTCAGGTAGAAAAGTTTCGCGATGTGAAGTATTCGAGAATCTTTGAAACGAAAATTACTGAATGTATTCGCATGAAAATTTATTTAACACGAATCTAAATAAAATTAATAAAAACAACTCATTGTGAAAAAAAAATGATGAAGGTTGTACACCTAAGTGTAGTAGATAAATTATTTTAGGTACCTATATAAAAAACTTGTACAAGACTTGTTCAAACTAGTTATTGAAGGAACTATAAATTGATTGATTGTAACAGTATGACTTGAATAAATACAATAATTTATTTGTAAAGAATTATTGGAGTGTAAATCCATTATAAAAAAAAACAGGACACATTCTCAATGAATATTGAGGTGATATTTTTTTCTTGTTATATTCTGGTACAGACACAACTTTTGCCCGCGACTTCGTTCGGGTGCAATAATTACTTCCAGATTGCAGATTTTTTGTATTAAAACTATCCTATATGTCTTGAGTTCCAAACTATGTCTGTACCAAATATCACAGAAATTGGTTCAGGTGTGAAGAAAAGACAGACAGACAGAGTTACTATCGCATTTATAATATTAGTTTGGATACCCATTTCATTTGCAATGCAACAAATTAACCTTGATCCAAGTTACTATGCCATAGACAACTATATTGAGCACGGCTGTACAAGGTAAAGACAATAAATAAATTATTTATTACAAACACCTATTGTTTTACTCATTCACAATTCATCACTGTTTATGAACAAAGTTTAGCTAAGGAAAATATGTACATTTAGGTTTTTGATGATATATAAGTAGTATAAGTGGTGTAACCAGCTCATGTATATTGAGGTTTCCTTGAATTACAATTTGAATGTTAAAAAACTGACTGTGAGAATTTAATGTTTCAATACAATAAAATAGTGACAAATAATTATACTATTATTTATTGAACTGTCAATGCACAATATTTTCGTTATTATTTAGTAAATTTTTATGAATTTACTAAGCTATTTGATTCAAAAATACTGTCAAATCAAGTATTTAATTTGACTAGTTGGAAACTACCCTGTTACTATAACTTTTATAACTTCTTTTTTTGTCCTGTTTTAACTGTTGGCTTTTATCAATAACAAAAGAGGTTGCATAACTTATTAACATTGTATGGACAAATGCAAGTAATTTTTTAGGTTTTAGAACACCACTTTATTATCTGTAGTGCTATAGGTAGCCAGTTTCTATAGTGTTATCATAGCTAATAAAGACATACATAATAGCCATATGATTTATACAAAGATAAGGAAAATGTTAAATAGTTGCCAGTCATTGAAATCTGAGTCAGTGCACTGAAATATCTTCTTTTGAATATAAAACTATAAATCCATAGTTTTCACATGTGGCCTATTATACTCTGAATGGAAAACTTTTTTATGTAAGTAGAATTTAACATAGTAGGAATATATAGTCTATGTCACTCATTAAAAAAAATAAAGGTGTAGGTAATATTTTGTAATTGATTTGGTAGATTGATGCATATTTTAATTATAAACAAACTGATAAACAAACCATGTTTTCAAACTATTAAATATTTATAGTAGTATATGTATACCTATAGAAAATGCAACATTATGTGTGTCTACTGTTATCTCAACAACTGATGTAGGAAGTCACTGATTAATAATTTATACTTGTAATTGTAATTATTGTATGTACCTTAGATAGATATGTACATATCATATTTAAGCTGGTACTAAAAAAGAGTTTTGTTTTGTTTTCCAAAGGTATGTTTAAAGTTTAAGGCATAATGAAATAATTTGCTAAGAAATTATAATCCATATTTTTTATGTGATAAGTTTGTGTTTAAAATTCATAACACTTGTAAAAATTATTTATTTTTGTTTTGATCTCTAGCAGATTTTCCCTGTGGAAGGAGGAAACTTAAAGAAATTAATTAGGTAGGTATCAAAGAATAAGGTAATTGGGTGTTTATTTTATTATTACTGATTGAAGATTGTTGTAGATATATTTATTTAAGTATAAATTATTTTTCTTTAGATCGTTTTTAAAGTTACATGAAAAAATAATTGTTTTATTTTTTCATGTAACTTTAAAAACGATCTAAAGAAAAATAATTTATACTTAAATTGAAACAAACAAAATTGAATCATAGAAAAATATGAAATAAAATTACTAATTATAAATCTAATTAGTAAATACTCACATACAATATGGAGCATACTTAATTTAACAAAAAAATAATTGCCTCATTAAATAGATATATTTATAATATTATCTTGATACCATAGATAATCAGATAATTATTATTCATACTTCAAATGAACTAAGTTAAAACAACAGAATATTGAAATGCAAAAATGCTGGGTATGCATTTAAAACTATTTGGGAAACATGGGTGATGAAATTTAAGTAAGAGTTTACAGTCATATGAGTAATTCTGTATTACCATGGCATCCTTGAAATTATAAAAATAAATCTAACCTCCTCGGTTACATTCTGGCCAGCCTTCTTCTTGATGTCGATCAAGTTCAGCACGTTGCCGGTATTTATTGTCACTTTAGACGCACTCTTCAACATCGTGACCAAATAGATTAACTTTTTATTTGTATTAGGTAGGTATTCACGGCCTCGCACACAGCCAAGGTTACCGGCCAATATCACACACACAAAAAATACTCTGAGCTCAATATTTTGTTATCTGAATGCGCAGTCGTCCGCTATAAGCGACTGTGAACGACTGAATACTGGCCTTGCACACAGAAACTCATAATTTTATACACAATCAGCTGTAGAAGTTGTATCTGTGACGTATTGCAAAGTATGACGAAATAATCTAGCGCGGTTAGGGCAACATTTTTGTAAGGTTATTTTGTAAGTTGCCGAAAATATGGCATTCGAATAATGAGTCGGCAAAACTGGAATTTTAGGAAATTTTCATTTTTCTGATTAATTATTCTATCACGAATGAACTGTCAAAATTGATTAATCTTTGACATGGGACTTGGGAACTGTTAATGACAGCTAAAGCTTAGGATACATTTTAAAGAAAAGAGAACTACATTTGAAAGTTCTTGTCCTCTTGTGTAACAATACCTTTAAAACCATATTTAGCGAAATGTCGATAATTTCTATAATGGAAAATCTAGACTATGTATTGTAAAACACGACATTTAATATACAATAAATAATAAAGATGTCGTCAATACAAAGTTATGATAAGAGAGTTTTATGTGAGTAAATAATCGTACAAACAAACAACGAGATAGTAATTATGAAGTTAGTAAGTTCTAAGGTTAGATTACCTGATGTTTAGCAGTCCACGCCGGTCTTAAACACTCGCACACAGGAGGAGTTACTAGTGCGTTGTCGGCTTTTTGGGAATTGTGGTTTTATAGATTTTGGGATAAGGGAGGATTGGGCCTTCGGTAACCTCACTAGGTACCTCACTTATACGGCGAAACACAACGTTGGTTGTGGCAGTTTCATGCCAGTTTTCTGTGAGGCTATCATAGTAGAAAATTTATAATGGTGGTATCAATCCAGTTGAGCTGACCCAAATGTTTAAAAATCAATAGAAATTGACATATTATTGAGGATCTATTCTTAGAGTGGGAGAGCCGAGAGTCCGGCGTGAAACAACCACAGCGTTGTGTTCCGATGTGTGAGTGAGGTTAACGGAGGCCTAAATCCCCAATCCCTAAATCCCTCATCCCGAAAAGGTCGGCCACGCACTCGTTACTCCTCTAAATTTTATAACTAATTTTATTAATAAATAAGATTCAGAATCGAAAGGTATTTACCCGACTGCCAAAGAAGGAGGGTAATGTTTTTCGAGTGTATGTAAGTATGTATGTATGTCTTTTCCTTTGTGACCTCCTGTAGCCTAAACGGCTTGATGGATTTTGATGTATGAGGTATCGTTAGATTTGTCTTGATTACGGGAGTGTCATAGGATACATTTTATCCTAAAAGTCCCACGGGATAAAGACATAATAATATTTTTTCTAAATTTCCCTTTATAAAAATATGTATGCGGTATCATTAGATTCATTTCAATCACGGGAGTAATTAATATAGGATACGTTTTTTCTCAAAATTCCCACGGGAACATGTTAATTCTGCGTCAACGCAAAGCAACTCATGCGTTAGCAAGCAAAAAGATAGGGCGTGGTCCTGTTCACGAAGAACACGCGTTTGTTACTACAGCTCTTATGCCGATTGATACTAATATTCCAGATCTAAACGAAGTTGTTTCGAACGCTAATACCGTAGAAGAGAGACCAATACCTATCTACGAACTCAAACGGAAAACTGTGCCCCCGGTCAGCGTCTTGAGAGAGCAAAGAGCAGAAGAGCTAGCGTGGATAAGGTTATTCCCAGATGGTCGAAATGGGCTTAGGGAACAAAGACCCGTTCCAATAACACCGCTCGATTACTACCAAACTCGAGTGATGAGCAATGACAAACGGTTCCAATTTAACGAGTACATATTTTACGCCCTCTCGTTAGTAGAACTTTGCAAGGCTCAACAAACCACCTTGGATCGGGCTGTCGTGGACCTATCAAACGTGTTTGCAAAGGGCCAGGCTTATGTAGCCCTAAGCCGTGTTAAAACACTTGCTGGGTTAGCAATAAAAACACTTGACCCAAAAAAGCTGTTGGACCGGCCCCACGACGAATGTTCTTTAACTGAACTTAAACGTTTGCGGGATCTTCAGCAGTAATGACTCACCTAATTCTTTTTCTTCTTCACTACCAACAGTCCAGATTGGCGGTAAATTTATGTTGCGGAGTAACATCACTCGTAATCTAAAGCCAAATGTCGTCGAAATAATTTAAAATGGTACTTACATATACATAGTCTTCTACATCTACAACATTTTCGTTAAATAAAAACAACTAAAAAGTTATAAATAAAAAAAATATTATTAAAAAAACAAAATACCCGACTGCACACTAAAATAAGATTCAGAATCGAAAGGTATTTTAGTAGTACTATTCAGTAATACTCTGTGCTATTGACAACGCTGCAATGACAACGTCAAGTTGAAATGATTGAAAGTGAAACGAACGAAGTGATGACAGAAACGAAACTTCAATTCGGCTGATAGAAGAAGCACGTATTGTTGTTATAAGTTAAAATTAAATAAATTATTTCGAAATATAAAAATATTTTGTGAAAATATCTTTCAATTAAAATAACAGAATGGGTGTTGATATTTTAAGCTTTGCTTACGCTGCTACTGTTGCCGCCGGTGGCATAATGGGCTACGCGAAAGCAGGTTAGTTATTTTTTCATATTTAAATCTCTATATATGAATATTTTAAAACGAAGATAGCGGTTACTCGTAGTATTCTAGAAGGAAGCAAATTGTAAATTTAATTTTTTGACCATCATATTATTGCTAGTTATTTTGTTCTTTTATGTAACCACTTGAAAATAAATTAGATAAGTGCTATTATCTTTTTCTGCACCTATCGTAAATTTATCCAATAGGCGGGAGCTGTTTCGATAAAACGATCTATGTATGCCATTCGTATTGTTATTTTTACGAAACATTGGATTTCACATCATTGGACACCTACATTTCTGTGTATCAGGCTGATTTCCACTTAGAAGTTTATTTTATATATATTTATGAGTGTTATAGAAAGGATTTTAATTCTATTCATTTCATATCATTAACAGAATTTGTATGTTTGTAAACACACTAATAACACAAAAATCCTAGTGAGGAGCAATGTTCTTACATAAACATAAAAAACATGCTATACACATCCATCTAGGCACAAAACTTGCAGGCATAAAGGCTGCTAGGTATACTACTTAAAACTATTTTACTGTGTCTATGGTTTCTTTTATATGATCGTTTGGCAAATTCAATGTTCAGGTCATACTAGTTACACATAGCTTGATTATAGCTTAGCTTTTGAGAGAAAAATCATCCAATGACTTCTCCCGCTCTGAATGGGGTGAAAGAGAGAGTGCCTAACACTGATTGAAGTTTTTAACTTCCCTGTTTCTTCTGCTATTTCAAGCCAGGTCATACATCATCATGCTTAACCTGCAATCCTGAGCTTGATGTACATACTAACTATTTTGGTCTATTTAACCGTTGTTTAGCTTATCCAAGTGTTAATAAAATTCTTTGCATAAGAATTGAGTACACGGTACTGTACCGGTATTAATAACAGAACTTGTTATCAAAAACATTCTATTATTATGTTAATTATGATAAAATTGAATGATGTGAATATTTTGTTGACTGTCATGATTATTGGTCATACATCTAAATTTAGGTTTTTGTTACTTAGCAAGTGCCATTTTAGCCCAGGGTGGTTCTGGCTTGGAGCAGGAGAAGAAAGGTTTTTAGTCAGTAGTAGAAAGGTTTTTAGTCAGTAGTCAGTAAGAGTCTGACACTGCCTCTTGCTGATGTTCACCAATTTCTTGACTAAAACCCACTCTTTTCCCTATTCCGGCTCTAACCATGATTCATACCATTAATAATGGCTCCTACTTTAATATTTTTAAATATTATTTTATTTTATTTTATAGTAATATTTAAAAATGTAATTTTAGAGTGATTTTAATAAATATATATGTAAATTTAAGAATTTGTCCTTTTTTATGTCACCTGTTCATCTTATCAACATTTAGATGGTGTTAGATCATGTTATTCTTATTTTATCTATACTAATATTATAAAGCTGAAGAGTTTGTTTGTTTGTTTTAATGTGCTAACCTCCGGAATTACTGGTTCGAATTGAACAATTCTTTTTGTGTTTGTTAGTCCATCTATCGAGGAAAGCATCATGCTAGGATCTGCAGCAGGGGTTGAAAAGGCGCGAGAGTAGCTGGTGTAAAAATAAGGTTTTATGTAAAGGTTACCATAGCCAACTATCAAGAAATATCAACAGCCAACAAAATGAAAAGTTATATCATAACAGATGTTGATAAAAAAACTTGAAATTCATGTAATTAAACAAGGTCTTTCAAGTCAAGGTTATAAGATTGTAATTCATCTTGACGATAAATAATATAGGCCATAACTAGCCAATGTGTCGACTGCAAATGCATGTATTTAGATTCAATAGGTTTATTTTACCTAATACTAGGTAATCTAATAAAGATGAAAGATTTATTTGATTGTTTGTTTAGCTTTAATAGGCATTTAAAGTTACTTAAGCGACCCCCTAGTTAACATATATGTACTTAAATAAATATTAATTTATGTGATAGGACATACGGATTACCCGATGGTAAGCAATCGGCACTGATTGCCATATACACCCGCAACCGCGGAGGAATTACGACTGCGTTGCCGTTATTTTGGAGATTAGGATTTGGGGCTTTAGGGATTGGGGTTGGGGAGGAATTGAGCCTCCGGTAACCTCACTCAGACAGCAAAACACAATGCTGTGGTTGTTTCACGCCGGTGTTCTGCGAGGCCTTGATATCACTGCGGTCGAGCCGACCCATTCGTGCTGAAGCATGGTTCTCTCACACCATACAACTCCAGCCGGGATTGCGGCAGAGCAGGAGAAGGAACAGGGGGGTTTTTAGTCAGTAAGAGTCTAACACTGCCTCCCGCCCGGCCCTGGGCGGGAGAAATCATTTAATGATTTTCCCCTCACAAAAAAAAAAACCATACAACTCATGTAGTTTACTTTAAACATGTACATGCTCATGTAGTTTGCAACACTTGTACAAGTATTGTTTGAATATAATTATCATTATTTATTATATGTGCTAAGTTACACTGCACAAGTAATGTTTTATGCGAGTGTTGACGTTTTTCTCATTTTGTTGAAATATACTTGAAAGAATTATTTGTTTGGACCAATCATGTGTTAGTCTGCAAAGGGCAGAATGTTTGCGCACCGTACATAACCATTTCCGAGGGAGTTATACCTTACTTAGGTCATCGTCGTCTTGTGGTTTCTTTCGCTCTGGTTGCGGGCGTGGCCTACGTCCGCAAGCGTGGGGTAGTGTAAGGCACTTACTGAAAACCACCCTTTTCATCCTCCTGCTCTAGGCCGGGATCGCGGTTTGCGCTTGACCCGCACCCCTTTTTTTTGGCAGCGGAAAATCATTAAATGACTTCTCCCGCCCAGGGTAAGGCGAGAGAGAGTGTCAGACACATATTGGTTTGGAATAATTGTGTTTACTCAAAAATAGTGTATGATATGTTCTCAAAAAATTTACGTTACGGTTTTGCTAGTATTGGTGTTATTTTATCTTCGGAAGCTTGTTGCTACTTTTGTTTAAATTTTAAGGCTATAAAGTTTAAAATAAAACGTGCTCTTCGGGGCAAAACGGGTACGGGTAAATCGGGTACGCCAGTAAAAGATCAGCAACAGAAAAAGAAGAGAAAAAGAAAGTTCCTATGAGTAAAATCCAAGCAGTGAAGAAAAATTTGAAGGTTGTAAAAGCTTCTACTAGTAAGACAAATAAGCAAAAAAGGTACAAGCGAGAAACCAAAGGATAATGAAGATCACGGAACCGAATACCCATGCTTGGTTTGTTCAGAGTTATACTCATACCCGCCTATAGAGGACTGGATCAAATACGATGATTGTCAAATGTGGGCCCACGAGGCGTGCACAACTTATTCTATTATTGTGATGGATTTATGATGAATGATGATTACTGGCTAAACTCAGGCCGTAGGCACAGTGACGCAGACTAAGACAATCAGCTTAATTTAGACAATATACAGTACAGAAATCTGAAATCCATATTTTTATTTCAGTTTAAAACAATTTGTATTTTAAATCCTACAGCATAAGGTCTGTTTTGGCAAACTAAATTAATTATTTTCATTTATGTTTCAGGATCTATACCTTCTTTGGGCGCTGGTCTGATTTTCGGCTCGATCCTAGGTAAGCTTACTTTTACTAATTTCCCGATGCTATCATGGTGTTACGTTACTGCAGCTGTTACTTATCTTACATAATGGGGGATAGCCGAATTTGCACCAAGGAAGGTTCTGCGTGGAGGTGAATAAAGAGGTGTAATTTTACCTCTTGGGAAAGGAAGAAAAGGTCTGGAAGGGGTACGGAATCTAAAAAGACCAAGCAGTCAATTGTATTTCTCACTACTTCTATACTAATATTATAAAGAGGTAAAATTTGTAAGTTTGTATGTAGGGGGTAATCTATGGAACCGCTGGTCGGTTTTCGAAAATTCTTTCACTGATAGATAGCTACAATTTTCCTGAGTGCTATAGGCTATAAAACATCACACTACGGTTAAATTGAGCCTAGCAGCGGGTGAAACCGAGCGAGAGCTAGTAGCTTAAGTAATAATGGGTCGGTAGATTAAGGCCTAGCTTAAGATAAAGCCGCAGCGATTTTAGTAAAAAATATTTTATATAGAAATTATTTATTTACATATAAATCTTTCTAGGTGTTGGCGCTTACCAGCTGAGCCAGGACCCCTCAAACTACACTCTTATGTTAGGTACTACATCAACTCTTGGAGGTCTTATGGGATACAGGTAATTATTCACTACTGAACAATTTCTTATATATGATCAATACGCGGCCACTAAGTGAACGTTAATCCGCTTTGGGTAATCCTGATGGTAAGCAATCGACACCGCATACGGACTCCCGCAACACCACTAACAGGGCGAAACACAACGCTGTGGTGGTTTCACGCCGGTGTGAGGCACTCCGGTCGAGCAGGTCAATTAGTGAGTGATTCTCTATCCTCCAGCAATGCTTTTTTATTTATGTTATTTATCTACTTCTAATTCTTAGTAGCCACACTTTATTTGTATTTGTAGTCTCTTCTGTGCCTTTAAGGCCTAAGTCATTCTGTCTCCTGCATTAAATTTATCGAGGTCCCTGAATGAGCATATAATTTTATTATTATAGGCTTTGTTTGGTACTCACCTGCATCCAGTTCGATATTATTGGTCAAGTAGGTACTTAAAAAGGAACAATTAAAAATAATAACACTTAAAAAAAGGAAATATAAAGAAGTTGAAATTTAATTGCAGGTATTACAACAGCAGGAAGTTCATGCCAGCCGGTCTCGTATTCTGCATGTCTGTCGGTATGCTTGCCAAAATAGTATTCAAACACGTCAGCGCTCCATCTGCGATAGCTTCGAAGGGCTAAAAACTCTGTGAGTGGACCTTCTTAGATCTATATTGCTATGGCCAGATTAAAAATTAAATAGAAAAAGTGTTGTCAACATCTTGAGTGAAAGAAGGTTTAGGTTAATTTTAAGAGAAACTTAAAATAAATTATTTTATTACAGTGCCCGGTGATAAATATTGGAGATTAAGATTTTGGAATGAACTAATTTTGTGTGATATTATTATCCTTTTATGATTCCAAAAGAGTGCTCAACTAGTTTTAGTGTCTCATAACATAATCATGAGCGGTCTAAGGGGCGACTTTGCCGTTTCTTTTCCCAAAAAACAACGTGAAATATTTATCGCTAGGTGCTGTGACTGCTTTGATTAATAAAATGTCTACTATCATTTCATGATTCAGTGTAATGATTGATTCTAATGGTGTGCGATAAAGTCCTTGTATGACACTATTTTTGTATATTTTGTAGTTTATCATGCATTCTGCGCACAACCCTTAGTGCAATAGTACCTGTGTTCACTTGTTTTGCATTTACCAATTTTATTTATAACTGGTGTTTTTATAATGAATTATGACAAATAAAAAGGTGTTGGGTATAATTTGTTTTACTCAGAGACCTTAGCTCTATTCAATGGAGTTAATACTTATAATTCCAAAATAAAAGTTTGAATTCTTACTTTGATGAGATTTAATAAGGGTAAATAAAACAAGCATGGTTTGTATTCGTTATTGTCTATATTTTTTCCTTAAAATTTAGACAGTTTTGGAGGATTATAAGGCTTTTATACATAAATAGTTTGAATACAATAAATAGGTATATCAACGGCAAGTGATGTCAAAGTTACAATACAATTGATCTCCTAAAGGCATGTTCCATACAACCGAAATAAATTGTAGATTTTTTACACTATTGGTAACTTTATTAAAGATTTAATATCTCTTCATAAATAATTTTAGACATTAAAAACAGCTTAAAATAAAACAAATTGAATTTTTCATAAGAACAAAAAAACCAATTGAAGTTTTGTATAATGTAAAATTTACTTAAAATAAAGAATAAACCTAATTTCAAAAGACCGCGAACCAGTCGCTCTTGAAGTCAGTTTTAAAACAAAAAATAAAAAAATAAATCTTACTTTAACATTTCTTAATAATTACTGTATGAAAGGCACTTCGTGGCAGTTTCTTTTATTTATGTAACATTGATGATATTTTACAACCTTTAAACTCAAAGCTAAGAGTATTTCTCGTTGTCCAAGTATTGGTACCGACCGCAACACACTTGGACGCAGCTCCTAACGTTTCTAATATTCTAGTGTACTTATAAGTTCATTAAAAACACAATCACATTGTAATATCACTCACGGAACTGTGTCCGACACTTTCATAAAGCATTGTCTTCGGACACAATATATTTCACACACAAGTCGCACACGCCCGCTTCTATTAACTTATACAGTTTTAGGAATAAAAACAAGCAAATATCATGGTCTGCTTGCTTTTATTACAGCTACTTAAATTACCAAAATTACCTATTAAGTTCGAGTATTACACTGATAATAAAATTATACGAATTGTAGTGGAGATGTCGTTGTTCATGGCGGGTGTGTGCGGTTCACAATCTGTAATGTGTTTGGGACTGGTCGAGGACTGCCCTTTGCCCTTGTAGGCGCCGCTACCGGGTCGTCGGGGGAGTCGCGTCGTTCCAGCGAGACAGTCTTCAAGGCTCGGCCCGCTCCTATCGTTAGTGGCGGCTGCTAGAAGAAATAACTCATTAAATATCAACTTTACAATGAGGAAATAAGAAGAAAATGATATCAGAAACTGACAATAGAGCTACATAATTACAATAAAAATATAGTATTGAAGAACTGAAACACACATGCTTAAGATTATAATATAAAGAAGAACGAACATGTTTATATTATAATATACATTTATATAACAATTTTTTATATAGAATATGCACAAAATCTTAGATATAAGAGGTAGTAAAGTATGTACAATGTAGATGTGATGTCTCCATGTCTGAAGTTGTGGAAGATAGTCGATATGTATGTAAAAGTATTTGTACATAGGTAATGATGACCTTCAGTAGGTGCGAGTATATTATGTTCCAGAATTTTCACTTTCGTTATCTTTTTTGAGCAGGAAATAGCCTAATCATTGATTCCTAATTAATCCACGTAAAATTATAATAAAGTTCATTAAAACGGGAGAGATAGTAATTTACAGTTCTAAAGTTCTTTTAACGCTGTACTGCTAAGAAATTAGATTTTTTTTTATTTATTAATTTTAGAGATCAGTTTTAGTAAATAAGCCTAAACATTTTAGTCAATATGATTAACTAATCCCCAGATATATTAAAATAAATAGCTCCTGGGATATCTATTAAATCTACGAATTGTTATTTTCAGTCAGAAATCTAACTACAGATCTAATTTGTTATAAAAAGATAACGAAAAACAGAACAGAATAACAACTAAACCGATAGTGAAAATGAATACCAATATCCATGACAATATTCACAAGACGGCATGGCATGAAGTAGGAAATCGAATCGATGTCTGTGAGATAGGAATGATCATCCATCATCCATTCTTACCAATAATTGGCAACTTAGTGGCGAACTAACTCTCCGGTCGTCGTGTTCCTTCGAAACGAGAAGGTCAACCTCGCCGGTTCGATTTGAACTTGCTGCGAATTAGCATCAGGCCTTATAGAATTATCACTGGACTTTGCTTGTGAATAATAAGTCCCGATTTTGAATAAAGGCTTTATACTTTTATCTTGATATGGACTTTTCGTCGTGGACCGTCTGAAAAAGCCATCAAAGTCCTCCTTTTTGTAGAAACCTTTTCTCGTCGTTGTTGTTGTTGAAGCGGTGACTGTAGGTCGGGTTGTGAAGTCCTTGAAATCGTATGGACTTCTTGTTGATGTGATTGAGTATTTGTTTATCGAAGGTGGGTATGTGACGCTGGTAGGTGGTGAGGACGTCGTTGTTTTCGTGGTGAAGAATTGGAATGGTTTCCTTGTTGTAAACTGGAAGTATGGTTTTTCTGTTGTTGTTGTTGTTGTTGTTGTGGTACTAGTTGTGGTGTATGCTGTGCTCTTTTGGTATTTTTGGGTTTGTGCGGGTGGCGCCGATGTACTAGCTACGTACGGCTGTGTCGTTCCATCGTTACTACGTGTTAAAGAAATTACAGTATTAGTTATGTGTGCTCCCGTATGTACACATACTGGGGGCAATGAGAATGTGTTGCGTTCCCATTGGCTGTGCCAGTATTGTGACTATATTCAGACGTTTTGTGCTCGTTACTGTATGGTTCTATAAACATTTTTATATCCATAACTATCTTAAACTATAATTATAATTTTCACTTAAAATTAAGGAACACAAAGGTAATAAAAATATTACTTATGTCTAATATGTCACATTAGAACAACAGCGAATCCCATTCATAATATCAACTAGTATTCTAACAGCAGTAAATATCCCATTCATAATATTTACTATCACAATCATAGCAACAACTATCCCGCTCAAAATATTAACTTTCACTCACATAGGCACAATTAGTCTGTGAAACAGTCACTATCACACAGAACAACAACTATCCTGCTTAGAATAGTAACTATCACACTCATAGCAACAACTTTCCCGTTCAGAATATTAACTATGACGCTTACAATGACAAATATAATACGCACCTGGTGATATTTCCGTAGAAGGGGCTCGTCTCCGGCCGCACGTAGCTCGGCGTGTGTTGCGAGTAGTCGGGGATTATGTTCTCGTGTTCGGTTATACACCGACCGTTTATACAATACTGTAAAATACATTGATCATTGAATTTCAAATTATATGTAGGTACGTCATCATCATCATCATTATCATCAGCCTATAAGTGCACACTGCGAAGCAAAGGCCTTTTACACGGAGAAGGTTTAAGCATAAATCACCCAAGGAGGAGTGGTGATTTCAAACTTATTTTCCGTCAGTGGTGTCTCAATAATCAAAGGGAGTACATATAACTCGAAAACAAACACATTGGTAACTAGTTTCCAGGTTTTGATCTAGCACCCTTATACAAGATAAGTGTGCGCCATAACCTCCGGGCCACCACGACGTTAATTTGTACCGGAATTATACGTACCTACATAAGCTTATAACACTTTTAAGGATAAGTAGAAATTGGTATACTATAGTAATGTAGGTAATTATTAAATAGATCGTTATCATCATCAACATCCCGTGAGAGAAGGGGGGAGAAGGGCAGAGAGAAAGAGAAAGAAAATGTAAGAGGGAGGATTGCTGTTAAAAAACATAAATGTTTGAAAACTTATCTTGCTGTAGTTCTTCGATTTTGACGAAGTAGTTTCGGTGATATGCGCGTTCCACTTTTGCTTTGCTGCTTTATATACTTACTTAGATGATGATAGAAGTAGATATGCTGGTTAGTTACCTGTCCATCACCACAAGGCGATCCTTCAGCGGCAGGTCTGTAAGCGACGCAGTACCCGCTCGCCGCGTCAAAACAGAACAGCTGAGCACACACTCGCTCGTCCTTGAAACATGCGCTGCAAATAACGACAATTAATGTTAATTGCAATTGCCAACAATAATTGGCTAAATGCTGTGTGTCTTTAATAGTCTTTAATTTAGTTTTCGCAATAAAAATTATGCATATGAGATGTACCTACTGCATAAAATGTATTAAGATACTCGTATGTTCATGTTTGCTGAGTTTGAGTGTGGACCATGTTTCGGTTATTATATTTTTTTTTATATTAGGCAGACAAAATATCCTTATACTACCGAACCGTAAAGTATAGGATACATTGATATTGTTTGACAGGTAAATTGGTAGTGTTTGAAAAATCTAAGTACCTACCTAAGAAATACTCCTAAGTACTAGAATCATTATTGAATATACTTTTTTTTAAGGGAACTTTCATCAAATGACTTCTCCCTCCCAGAGTAGGGCGAGAGGGAGTGTAAGACTCTTATTGACTAAAGTCCCCTTGTTCCTT